TACCAAGTTCAGTGAAACATTTTCATAGTAAAAGGAGGAGAGAAAAGTGGGCAGTGGTGGTGAGGTGGGACGCAATCTAACTAGAGCACCAGCAGTGAGAGGGAAGACAGCCCCTTCACTCCCTCTACAGGGTACTTGGTCTATTTGCACCATTGCCTGAATGCACCAGTCCGAATGCACAACCACCTTAGTCTGAATGCACCACTACCCTGGACTGAATGCACCAGACCAACTGCACCATAATATTACAAGTAAGATATTTTGCTCTTATAATTAATACGGTAAGTGTTATTTTATAATTAAAATATATTGATTTTTATGCAAATACGAAAGTCGGTCAATTTGTAGTTTCGACCAACCAACGAGTTTTGGAATTTCATGTTCTCATTCAATAGTCATAACTATGTATATAATATTGCTCTTAATACTTTTAAAACTACAAAATATTCTTTTATAAATAAAAAAATAATGCCCTTTTCTTCAATTACAAGAGTGTTATACAGTAGTCTAGTTCTTTATCTTGGAAGCATAATGTGTTGTCTAATGGTAGACCCTGCTGCCATATGGCATTGAAAAAATTGTGACCAAGTCCCAGGTTGCTGATCTGACTTTCTGCCTCATTTACACACAATTGCGGGGTCTCAATTGTTTCTCTTGCTATTGACAACACAACATACATATATCATATTTTCATTATTATTATTGTTATCATTATTATTTTATTTTTATTTTTGTATTTTTTATGATAAATTTTACTTATCTGAAATATTATTATTATTATTATTATTATTATTATTATTATTATTATTATTATTATTATTATTATTGTTATTAAGTTTTCGCCCCCCGGGCCCTGATGTGGGTTGGTGACCTGTGTCCGGGTGGGCTAATACCCGTAAAGGAAAAAGGAATCTGCTGGGTCACTACACTTCCTCAGGTACTCAGATATAATGATGTCATGGATTTTGTAATTGGTCCAGAGCTGCTTCAGCAGTTGCTGGACATCATGTGCTGGTTATCCATGTCTTCTTAAAGTAGACAAGAAGATCATGAAGTTTCTGTGTTGAGGTAATCTGAGGGCATTGCTGTTTTAGGTGGTTGAATGCGGTGCTGATATGGGAAGCTGTAAGGTTGGGCAGTGCCATCAGCTGTCGTATGTAGCTACGTACTGTAATCTGAGGCATGAATGCAGAGCATAGTCAATATTCCTTGACTCGATTGTATACAGTTTTCCTTACCAAACACCGGTAACAAGCAGTTTGCTAACTGAGGTTATTACAGATTTGGTCCATATAGGGGAACAAAATAATTAAGTTCACAATTACTGGTAGCTTTGTGTACCATTTAAATTTTCAGATAAGACTTTGTCATTGTCTGTGAGACTTTTGATATATTTTTTCTATCTTAGGTGGTGCATTCAGACTAGGGAGTGGTGCACTCAGGCAATGGTGCATTTTGTCCATGAATCCTCTAAAGTATACACTAAGACCAACCACTGTACAGTTCTACAAAAGGGGCACCTATATTTGTTTCAAATACTCTTCTTGGACATAAAACCATAAGCTTACCAAGTGTACAAAAATGAATTTTAAGAGCTGAAGGTACAGTATTACTACCCAATTAATTACTAATAAATACAAAATGAAGTACAGATACTGATATCTGGTCCATGGGCTGAAAACCTAAGTTAACCCTTAAACATTAGTGACGAATGTATTCATTAATTAGTACTATACATAAAGCCTTCTTGTCACAGCCAAGTACAATACCAGAAAAAGGAGGGCCAGCACAGTCTTGTCCAATGCTGATTAATCTAATACATATATTCTACAATACATGGGGTGATAAATATGACTATATTTGCTGAATGTTGATCAAATTTGATTATATGACTAGTGCATCATCTTGTTTACAATATCTCAGGACAGTAACCAACTGCTTAACCTTACTAATTTTTCTCAAATTTGTAACCAAATTTGCTGTATACCCTTAACACTTAAACTGCTAAAATTACCATCTGACAACACCCACTTCACTGGTATTGTCATTAATTGATGTTTTATGTCTTTGTGCCATGATTTAAGCTGTGTGTGACTTGACATCACTCTGGGTGATATACTGTAATCAGCTGTGTACCGTAGCCCCAAGTGGGCATCTCCTTCCTCTCTCAGTCAATGCTTTGTTTTACATCATGGAAGACACAGAGGCATTTCGGATTTTTGAATTTTTCGGTTTTCAGAATGGTTAGTTTTTTATATTTTTTATACAGTATATAAGCCCACCCGGGCATAGATCACTGACCCACATCGGGGCCTGGGGGGCAAAAATATTATAATAATAATGATAATACTGTAATAATAATTCATAGGTCTAGGTCGCATTTCTCACTTTTGATCTTTTTTCATTCTTGTATTTCTTTATTATTATTATTATTTTATTACAGTATTATTGTTATTATTATAATTAATTTGATTATTGTATTTTATTATTACTATTATTATTATTGTTATTATTATTATTATTTTATTTTGGTGTACAGTATTTTAATTAAAATTTTTATTTACTATGAATAATTATTATTATTATAATTATTACTACTATTACATTTTCGCCCACCAGGCCCCGATGTGAGTCAGTGATTTATGCCCGGGTGGGCTAATCCCTGTTTAAAAAAAAAAAAAAATGACCCACAAAAAACTTTCGGTTTTTAGAGCTTTTCTGTTTTCGGAATTTCGGATAAAGGGTTGTCAACCTGTATAAGCATCACACACATCTCACACTATCAAAATGTCCCCCCAAGAGTTGAAGAATATTTCAGGGACTTTCATACCCTAAAAACAGACTAAACAGTGGTTAGTGTAATAATGAACTGTATAGAAAAGCTTATTTATGCACGGTGATGAACAGTGTATCAATTCAAGAATAGTTTTGTACAAGCTTATAGTGTCAAAGTGTCCATAAGAGATTTCATGTAAATAAAAACTTAAAAGTGCTAAATACCGAGCTCAGTAATTCTGTATAATAACTGTCACAAAACAATATTAAAAAGTGCAGTAAACTTGCAGTACAGTACACACAAGATGATCTGAACTTGTTATGGTTGTAACAAATCAACAGAATTCTTGAACAGTTAATGGAATGCAAATGACACAGACTGCCTAGACAGCTTTAACCATAAACTTTGTGGAGGAAAGAGCAATTATAAAGTGACACATAATGATTATGTAACATCACTTACTGGGCTGGCTAACACTGACAAGAATAGCTCCATCAACAAAGATATTGCCACACATAGAAGAGAAACTATTATTGCATCTTGCAGAGTAAAAATGTGTTCAGGAGAGGGAGTGTGCAAGGTACATTAACTAACCATAGGTCAGAAACAGCTCGAGTCATGTAGGTTCTAGATGGTCTTTGATTGAACAAAAGAATACTGAGCAAGTAACTTTATCTAACATGACAAGGAAGGAGCATGTGGGTTAACTAAAGATTCCTAGAATGTAACTGCTTAAAGTTGTACCACCTATTGGATATAGTTCATTATCATGTCAACAGAGACTGAGAACAAAACAAACAAACATGAAATTGAAAATACTCATCAATGTTAAGGATTATGTTGACAGGATACTTAACCCTTGATCAGTGGATTAGGGTTCCCACTCCCCACCTACAGGAACAAAAAAGAATGTGGGAAACAGGAAACATTCACTCATGATGGCCACTATCCTTTCAGCCAACTTCCACAGACGATGGCCACTATCCTTTCAGCCAACTTCCACAGACGATGGCCACCGTCCCTACAGCAAACTTCCAGAGATGATGGCCACCGTCCCTACAGCAAACTTCCAGAGATGATGGCCACCGTCCATACAGCAAACTTCCAGAGATGATGGCCACCGTCCCTACAGCAAACTTCCAGAGATGATGGCCACCGTCCCTACAGCAAACTTCCAGAGATGATGGCCACCGTCCCTACAGCAAACTTCCAGAGATGATGGCCACCGTCCTACAGCAAACTTCCAGAGATGATGGCCACCGTCCCTACAGCAAACTTCCAGAGATGATGGCCACGTCCCTACAGCAAACTTCCAGAGATGATGGCCACCGTCCCTACAGCAAACTTCCAGAGATGATGGGAGATGATGGCCACCGTCCTACAGCAAACTTCCAGAGATGATGGCCACCGTCTACAGCAAACTTCCACAGATGATGACCACTGTCCCTACCTTCCACAGCCACCATCCCTACAGCAAACTTCCACAGATGATGACCACTGTTCCTACAGCAAGCTTCCACAGATGATGACCACCGTCCCTAGCAAACTTCCACAGATGATGACCACCGTCCCTACAGCAAACTTCCACAGATGATGACCACGTCCCTACAGCAAACTTCCACAGATGATGACCACTGTTCCTACAGCAAGCTTCCACAGATGATGACCACCGTCCCTACAGCAAACTTCCACAGATGATGACCACCGTCCCTACAGCAAACTTCCACAGATGATGACCATCGTCCCTACAGCAAACTTCCACAGATGATGACCATCGTCCCTACAGCAAACTTCCACAGATGATGACCACCGTCCCTACAGCAAACTTCCACAGATGATGACCACTGTCCCTACAGCAAACTTCCACAGATGATGACCACCATCCCTACAGCAAACTTCCACCACTGATGGCTGGTGTTTAAGTTTTAAGGAACTTCCCTACTATATACTTCTGCCATATACTGTATTCCAACAAATCACCCAAACTACTGCATGAAATATATAAGTCGTGGAAGTACAATACTAGATGGTACAGGAGTATATAACACAGCATTGGTAATGATATGAAAATGGCTATGATTGCAGGTTTCCAATTATCCAGATGTTTTGCACTTCATAATTATGATGTGTGCACAGCACTTGCGTCTGTTTCTCTATCATGCTTGAAGTGCTGTTTCTTTCAGTCAGTCCACCTAGGTGTGATAATGATAATAACACTCCCCTGTAAACATTGTAGCTGGTTTTCTCATGAATCTAAATACATTACTGTATCAATACATGTGGTATTGTATTCTATAACTATGGCAATAGACTACACAGTGACAAGAGGAAAGAATGGATAAACACCTACAAGAACCTGAAGCCTTTCTTAAAATAATCATTTCTACAGAAGAACCCATAAAGAGTGTTGTAGTGAGTGTTAGGCGAGTCTACAGCCTGGCACTAGCACCGGCACCAACTATGAAGAATAATAAACTTATTTGACTAATTTAATAATGTTTCGTACCTTCATGCAGTGAGCCTGGAACTTTACACAGTATTTTGATATGATGGCCTCTATCTCTAGCTGTCTGTATGAACAATGTCTGTAAAAGAAACATATAAGTAATCTGATATACTGTACTGTAATTGACTCAATCTGATACTTGTACTGTATACTATAATGAATCAATCTGATATACTGTAACTGACTCAATATGATTTACTGTTTTTGTTATAGTAAAGGAGATCCGGGTTGGGGATTACAGCAGATAAGAAATACTAAATTTAATCCTTTGTGTGGGGACCAGTAGAACTATTTGCCATTACTAAACATTTTCAGCAAGTCAGGTTAACCCATAAGTTCTTACAGTCTCTCTCACCACACTCAGTCTTTGGGACACTGAAGCTATAATGCTCTCTGAAAAATATAAGTTTGACACATCACAGTCATCACTTAGCTACTAGTTCTACTCTCACTCATTGACTGATTTTAATGTAATATAAACTTTAGAAATATTTACATCTAAAATTTTTTAAAAAGTTATAAGTTTGATGGGAAAAAAATCAGCACCAATTCTCTGACAGACCTGGACAACTTTCAGTCCCAGAACAATTGGTACATTAATCCCATTTGTAAGTTTTGTTCAGCATAAATCATAAGCTCCTCAGCTGACCGGCCAGAGCCAATAGCTGCTCCGTAAATGTCCACTCGGAACATTGCTGGTAATGGCTTAATATAGAGTCGTAGATGTCGTCACTGTTGGTGAGGTCCCCTTCAGTTCTTGGTATGATGTGTGCGTGTAGCTGGAGATACTGCAGCTAAAAAAAACGTATCAATATTAAATTCATACATTTTCATATGTAGAATGTACTTATATATCTCTTACATATACAGTACTTCAATAACTTTTACAAGTACAGTAGTACCCCGATTTACGCGGTCAATTGAACCCACAGGGTACCGCGGAAAGTGAAAAAGTGAAAACCGCGTAAAGTGAAAAAGTGAAAACCGCGTAAAGTGAACAACAGAACATATGGGATTAATTCCAATAGAGACTGGCCCGACCCCCAAACTCCACTTTTTCCGACACAATACCTATGTTGTAGTAAAAATAACATCTAAATTTTATGATGGTATGCTCACACAATTAATATTTAAGAGAAATACAGTCGCCAGGTTAATGTTCATTCAAATAATGGACTCAAATCTCCCCCCCTCTTCCCAGCTCACTGGCCCCCAACCTCTCTGAGAAATGATTGGGTGAAACACTAGATTTTAACGTTTAGTAATAAATAATACCTCAGACTAAAGTTAGGATAATATAATTGACATTTCTGGATTTCTTGCAGGTCAGGGAATATTTTGAATGTAAACTTCATATATTTTGCACAAAAGATAAAATACTTGCTTTGTGTAAACCAAATTATGACATTAGATCTAAAATTTGTATGTCTAATGCAAAATCCATGATCATCATATTGTAGGAATTCCAGCAATATAAATTATATTCTGGCCGGGTAATTTGTATGAATTTTATGAGCTAAATAAAAAAAAATAAAAAATATACTTCACGCGTATATGAGTAGATGCACCGCGGAAAGTGAAAGTCCGGTTCTGGCAAGGTACTGCGTAAATGAGAAATCGCGGAAAGTGAAACCATGTAAAGCTGGGTAATACTGTATATAGTACTGTATAGTCTTTGTGGATTGTCTACAAAATTTACATTGACTCAACAAGATTGAGCTACCATATCATGCTTCTTGAGCACATTGGCCTTGTTAGGATGTACCAACCACACTCAGGTCCATCAGTACCCAGAGAAAAATATGTTCCTGACTGATATGGATGATGCCACTCAAAGCCAGAATGGCTGAAGGGCTTTTAAATTGTCACCCTTGTTGACCACTTCAATCTTCTCCTCACCGGACATAGTTTAGGTTACTTGTACGGCTTTTTAAATTTTTCAACTTTTATCTAAAGAGGAAAGTGTCTTGTAATGATGAGATATTCATTTGTAGATTTGAAAGTGTGATTAGTTTAAGTTTTAGGTTTTGAGGGAAGAGGACTGCACCCTTATACTACATCTTTGAACCCACTAACAGCACTTCAGTCTGGCTGTTGTTCTACTTAACTTGTCATGATGTGAGGGTAAGTATCATGGGTTGTCAGTTTGTTTTCAATTGTAAAAAGAAGTTTTTGGAACTAACACCACATTTATGGATTAAATAAACAAGCTTGATGACAAATGATAGTTTGATAAAAATTCTTATCCTGTGGCATTTAACATTTCTAAATACTAAAATGAATTAACAATTCCTCTTGTCTGTAGTCACAAAGTAAATTACTACCTAGATACTACAGTACAGTACAGCACAGTATACTCCCTAAGACACTATTCAGCCTAATCCATAGGGTCAGCTTCCAGCAGACGCTGCACATAAATTATCATGAACTATGAATCAAAGACACTTAAGGGGTTAACTTTTAGGCCTCAAAACATTACCCTCTTCTTCCACTTATAAGTTACACAATCCTCTAAAATATGCAGGAAAACACATCAAGGATATGTTACATTAAAAGATGCTTCATTTTACTGTACCTGATCTGCCTGAGATGAGTGTGAGTTCTCTAGGAGGACGATGGTAGAGGAGTCAGCATTCTGGCTGGTCTCCACAAGGTGCTGGGCTGACTGCACACTCAGAAATAAATCTGTGAGCTGGTCTGCACTCGCCTTCCTAAACCCTATTGACGGCTTAAGCAGGGTAACATACACATCTTGTTGTGAGTTAAGAACAATGACAGTTTGGGATGTGATAAAAAAATTGTATTCATAAAGAATTTACATGATAAAAGATAAAGACTTGATATAATAAATTAACAGATAGAAGAAGAAGAGGAGAAAGTAGAAGGGGAAGAGGAGGAAGAAGGAGAACAGGAGGAAGAAGGGGAAGAAGGGAGCAGAGTACTGTACTCCAACACAAACCAGCAGCTTTACTTTATCTGGTAAATTCCTGCACTTTCCTTTTCTTATTTTCAGTTCCAAGTCAGTAGATGGTACAGTGGTATGCATGTATCTCACACTATATGTCCTGGGTTCAATCCCTGGGCCAGGTCAAGTGAGCTTATGAATGAGATGGGTTTTAGTGCAGTGGACTTGATGATGTCTCAGTAGGATAGAGTGAGGTAAAGTGTATAAGTCAGGCAGTGTGTGTGTGTGTGTGGTGCTGTAGATGGAGAGCCTCATGATCCTAATGCTTTACACTCATAAAACTAAGACAATAAGAACTAAGTATTGATGAAAGAGTTAAGGAGTCAGAGGGAATCAGAAATGTATTAGCTACAGCAAGGTACACAAAACCACCTGTTGTGTGTGTGTGTGAGATACAGTTTTGGTTGTTGGCAAAGGGAGCTTTTACAAACTAAAATCTAAGTACTGTCCAGTACAGAAAGTTCCCATAAAGCATGTTTTTGTAGTGTAATTTGGTTACAACGCAACGAATGTATTAGGAAACACATTTTCTATGACGTGGATGTGATTTGGATATGACACGATTGAATAAAGGGGACTATGTCACTCAAGTAGAAATAAGCGGTTTTGCAGTCACCTCGGCGTAGCATCACTCAAGGTAGGATGCACCACCCCTGCAGTCTCCATACACATCTGATGTGCTATTGCAGACTGTATCAACTTTATTGTTTTTAATTGCAATGAGTGACAAGGGTGTGAAACATTCTGGTAGTGGAAGTGAAGTAAAACAAAGAAAAGCTATTATTGTACTCTTGAAAAAATAATTGATGTGATAAAGCAGTATGAACCTTCACTTCTATCGGCAGACTGACTCCACCTCCTCCTCCACCACTCATCTCAAACAACCATCTTCTCTTCTTGTCGTGAGTGTTAAAACATTTTCAGAAGTTTATTTACATTTCTTATGGTTAAAATTTTTTTTAAAGGTTTTATCATAAAAAGCATTTAAGTGAGTGACACTCCATTATGTATTATTTCCTTCTGTACCCTCCTCAATGGCTCCATTTTGTATCACTTAGCAATGTAGTCTAACACGCTGTAACAAGCATTACTCCCTTTCATGTTTTTATTCTATTATTGAATAATTTTATCAAACAAAGTTATTATAAAACACATAAAAACTAGCAAAAATATAACAAAGTGTAAAGAAAAATTTTCAGTAATGTTGGTGTTCTTGAACCTATTACGCCCTAACTCCTCAAATTCCAATGAACAATTGTTACTACAATGTGATTTTTCTATAATGGGGTGTGTCTCAGAAATGCAACTACAATACAGTACTGTACTGCTGAAGCCACACAGTATATAAATGAGAAAATATTGTTACTGTAGTAAATACAATACTGTACTGTATATGAATATACAGTTATAGGAGTTATACCGTAAAAATTCTTAAACCTTATAAAAGGATACGACCCGGCAAAACAGGGTTAGGCGCCACAAAGGCACAGGAATGTTTTGTTTTAACAAACACACAACCGCTGGGAACTTTTACTGAACCAAACTGGAAGCTCTGGGGACACCTCGGGTCAGGAACTTCCACATCACTGGAAATAAAGTCACTCATGGAATTAAATAATCTAACTTTGTATACCTGGTGTTATATATACAGTAAAGTTATGGGCACATGATTATTTTATTCATTTATTCCATGTTTATCAATTCCCCTATCTCCCACCTTCCCCAAGACCACTGATAGCCTGCAGCAGCTCACCAACTACCAATTGTAGTTTTCGTGCCTTAAGGAGCAAGTTTAATTTATGTTGACTGTTCCATTGTAGCACTAAATTATTTACATCATTGTAGCTTGTGTTTCGATTGTTTAATTGTCTATTTAATTCAGGTTTTCAGATTCTAGAATCAGGCGGAGACCAGACTATAACAGCGGCAGAGACTTACATTCCTTGTGCAGTACAGTGATATCTCTGTTAGCCGGAACAATTGGTGCAAAGAACTTCCGGGAATGAGATTTCGAGGTAACGAGACGACTCTCTCAAAGCTGGAAAAAATCCCTCATCCCCAGAATTTTCTGTGCATTGGAAAAATTTTCTCAGAATTTCCAGAAAATGCACCTGATTTTCATCTCTCAAACCCAGAAAAAAAATCCCCCAATCTCCAGAATTTTCCAGAAAATTCCAGCTTTGGGAAAGCCATCAAAGAATTCCGGCTAATGGATATATTACTTAAGTTTTTAAATATATTTCAGTGGCGTATTCTTAATGAATACAAGGCATGCATTGCATGCCTTGTAAAGAGCAAAATATATTTTTAAATAGTACATAGTACCTTGAATAATACAGATTTAATTTTAGAGTCTTCACAGTTTTCACTCAGGAAAGCTGAGGAGACTCAGCATCCCTCAATGGACATATAGACATAACCATCCTAACAATAACATGCTAAAATTAACTTTATTGTGTTGGACCATAAGGAATTTGAGCTATTTTAGTCAAATTTAATACTTTTTCCCTTAATAAGCACGAAGTCTAATGTTATACGGTGATATTATATTACCTAAGAGTTGTTGTTCCATAAGAGTGGCTATTTAATAAGGCTTCTGTAAATGTAATGGGTACAAATGCATGCACATCAAAAACTGCATTCACTTGTCGAGAGGCTTTGTAGACCGGCGACGACTCTCAGTCAGCTGGACAAAACTGGTCCACATTATTAGTTTTAATATTTCTCAATAACTCTACAGTCCACTTTCAGTTATAGTTTTTTCACTTGGGAAAGTTATTCAGTTTTCTGTTTTACTTGAAATAATAATCAGATCATATAAATATAAATATTTACTAACTATTTAAATTACTTTTATCCTCTTTCCCACTGATCGGCTCGTTAGCCACTTGGGCGGTCGGTCACGTCTCATACTCACTGGTGGCAGATACTGGGCATGAACTGGCTCCTGAAGATATCGGAACCTGCACCAGTGTTGGTCAAGTCTGGCCTTGAATGAGCTCACACTCGGTGCCATCACAATAAGATCATTGGCAACTTTACAGAGGGCCAGTGTTGTGCATGATGCCAAGTCATTTTTTTAACTACTTTATTTCTAACTTACTGTAGATCACACTGAAAGTTTAATATTCTTTTGACGTAAGAATTTTTGCACCCATTATCAAATGTTTTATAATAGATACTTTGTCAGATGCCACTGATATAATTTAAGAAATTGGGTATTAATAAAAATTTTACACCCCATATTTAGAGAAAGGCCAGATCCTGCTTAATATTTGATTTGATAACTGATATATGAGGTGTTCTGCATGCCTCATCAGTGCAACCACGGTACGCCACTGATATATTTTCTTGCATCAGTTTTATTCAGATGATTTTCAGTGATTATTGAATGTAACTCATTATTCTCTACTTCCTTATACTGTACTATTGTCCAATCTCCAGATGCATTAATTTGTGTGAGCTTCTTCAAAGCATTTTGTGGCAAGATTTTCCTGTATGCGTACATAGTAGCAGGTCAGCCTGGGTTAATGGTGATTAGCAACTGTGACCCTCCCTCTGCTGTACAGGCATCATTTTGATGGAAAGACTTGGTCTTCTTCTTGCCTCACTAACACTTTATGTGGTCAAGTTAGTTTGTGCTCCTTTGCTGGGGATGAAAGTTGTGTTAGACTGTTCTCTCAATCAGGTAGGATGTAATAATGTGTATATAGTGTGTATTTTTTCTGTAAATAGATCATTTATGGCACAAAAGTACACCATAGGTCTATTTCCTCCATTGATATTCTGAGGATGATCACTTGAACTGAACCTATAAGGGACATACAGTTTATGGCCATGTACTGTATCAGTGTTATACCTGGCAGTACAGTACCGGGTAGTTACTATTTGTTGGTTCTCACGTGTAACTGTGTCCTACGTTAAAGCCTCAAGAAGATCATTTTTGTGATTACTTGTTCTCCCTCTTTCTCCCCTTGTGAATCAGTGGTACCTCCACTTGTGTTATTTCTACCTAACATTGACTTGTTATAATACTACAAAACACTTTAACCCTTTCTAAATACAGTACCAAACTGCTGCACACCTTCCTTTACTACTTAAGTAAATACAATCCACTTTGTATGTTATTACCCACTACTGTATGTAAAGTATAGTCAACATCTCTGTCCAATCTTTTTATCCCCAATTTTTCTTCCATCCTCTCACAGAAAATTTCACTAAATACATTCTTATGCTTCTCGTTCATCTTCAAACAAAACACGACTTACTCAGAAATGCCCGAAACAGTGTTGGACAAGCCCGGGAGGATCTGCATGGCCACCCCTCTCAGCTGACCGGCTTCCTCCTCCATCTCTGTTGTGTCTCGCCACTGACTAACAAAGTCCTCTTCATGTCCCTGTAGTTTCTGTGTTGGTGCTGAGCTTTGTGGTACAATATGAATGTGAATGTGCTGAAACAAAGAAGAAAGTCAAAGTTACCATATTATTTCATCAATATTTGTACATTTACTGTACTGTGTTTCCATCGGTAACATGATATGGAAGTTAAATAATAGTATATCTTAAACCTCTTAAAGATCATCAGCATCTACCTTTAAATTTATTACTTTCAATTTGCACTTATTGTATTATTATCAGACCATACATACATCAATGGTTTGTCCTGCTGCTGGTCCATCCTGGATAGCAATCTGGCAGCTCTCAGGTTTGTATTGACACATAACAACTTCAAGAGCTTTTTGGGTTAGCTGAGCCAAGTCACTAATCTCTGGAACCTGCAACTCTACTAGACGTTTAGCTGGCCTCTCTGAAGTCACAAGGATGTCTGTATCTTGAGTTAAGCATTACATAACAAGAGTTTTAATGGCAGTATCGAATAAAATGAAAGAATCATACTATATTACTATTTTCTGGCAGAAATCACAGCCCCTCCATTATACTGTATCAGCTAATTCTGTTCTATTAACTCACTTAAGTAACCCAGCAGTCCTTCCCTCACCATCAATCACACTCTTCATCTCCAAAATGGTGGAGATCAGGTCTTTCATAATCTCTGTCTGCCCAACCAGCACACTATGCCGAAGTTATGGTACCACTCTCCTTTGTTCACTGAATTTGGCATTGACAAAAAAATTTATTTCAGGAACAATCCTCTATTTTTACCTTGTGCTCTTTGCCAAGCAGCTGTGGTGGTCTAAAGTCAGCTAGACACAGGAGTGGAGGAGGGAAGTAGTCCCTCTCATTTACCTTACAAACCTCTGATCTTATTTTGAAACTTGTGGTTTGGAAGTTGTTAGCAAACTGATTCAAATCATATCAAACAACAGTACTGAGGGTGAGTTGGGTGAAATCACTACTGATGAGTAAACTATATACTGTATAGGTACTCACTGTGAAGAATGGGAAGAATCCACAAAAACTTTAAAAGGAAATCCCGACTTTCCCTCACCACAATGAACCACCACCAAGCCTGAGCCTAACCTACACTCACTAACAGACTAAAGGAAACAAAGTAACTCAAGAAGATCCCAACACAAAGCTTATAAATGAGAAGATGAGAGTAGCGTCTTGCATACAGTCACAGAAACAATGGCTGATAGGCAAAAGATTATATTACCTGGATCGAAAAGAAAACTAAAAAATTTAAATAATTTCTAAAGGTGTGATAAATAACTAACTGTTCAAGAACACTTAGTACTATTATTCAACATTAATATCAACAATGGGACAAGATATCAAACTTCAATAAATTCTTGACCTAAACTAATAAAAAATAGAGTTGATAATATAGAAGAATACGTCCTGGCACCAGAGGCTTCTTGTTGACGAACGCTTGGGAAAGACGAGACTTGAGGAACACACACGACCCAGGGACCGCGACCGTACCAAACTGATAACTGATGTATGGACTTGGAAATGGATACAGGTCACAGATCCTGAGGAAGGGATAAATTTCAAATTAATATTGAGTGTTCCTTCTTAGGTAACTTACTAACTACAAGTATACACAAGTGGTGACTAACATTCTCATCAGCACTTTTATAAACTACTAAGCACTACAACATTTACCCTGAGATATTCTGTTCTTCCTTTCTGATATTCACCACCTTAAGTGTTCTCTTGTTTTCTTTAGTTAACTCCCATCAAGTATAATTTTATTTGCAGACACGCACCAGCTGTCACAGTATTTATTTACACAAATAACCATAAAAATTTGTGGAAATATCATTTCAATACTCTAATGTGACTTAAAAATAAAGAAAATACAATATAAAACTATAAAGAAGAAAAAAGAAGAGTGGGAAGTAAATTCTGTGTGGGAGAGATGGGAGGTAGGGCGGTTGAGTGGTTGGACTCGTGGCTGGACTTTAGTAGAAAATTCCCTCCCTCCGCTCTCAAAGCAACCATCACCTTGCGACCTCTTTAAAATGGCAGTATGCAATTTTACAAGAAGTCCCATATTACTTAGGTCAATTTGGTGCTGGGGTAATTAAACAGTATCAAAAAATAATAAATTAAAAAAAAAAATAAAATCTTGCACTCGACCCCAGATGAATTATTGTGTTGTATTAATTCCCAGTGCTTTGTTTACATAATGTGAACAGCTGACCAGCCAGCCAGTCCTGATGCCTGCCTGTCTTGATGTCACCTAAAGGATGACTAAGAGAAGGCAAGAAGCTGTTTAGGTAATACAGAACTACTTTTTGTACAATATCTATGTGTTACTGTATTCTTTTATGTATTATGTATGATGTTCAGTGTTGACCAAAACAGTTTTACAACAGTTTATGGGTATTTTTTTGGCTTCTGGAACCTAACTAATTATTTCCGCTTAAATAAATTACACTCTAATTTTACGAATTGCAAATTCACAATGTCTTCTGGTACAGTCAGGGAAAGGTGTTTCTATACACTTGTGATACCCCCAGTCAAGATGTGGCGGTGTTGCAGTAGTAGATACGAGTGGTGATTCAAATAGCTTGTGAATTATCGCGACTCCACTGTACAATAATGTTTTCTGAACCAAGATACAGAGTCCACCAAGGCACAAACATCACCAGCAGGAAATGTCTAATGTTGACTATTGGCAAGATCATTAAAATACAGTAATATAATACAGTATGTGAGTATTAATGAGAGCTCACAAGGTGATGCAAGAATAAGGGTTTGATACAACACTAATGTATAACAATTAAGCTCGATGGTTACAACAGCTTAAATTCTACACTAAAACAGAAAGCAACAAAGCAACAGATGAATAAAAGAACTTGAACTTTTAAAATTCCTTAAGTGAAAATCTAATTACAATACTGTACTATACTGTATCAATAATCCCACATGAGGCTGACATTCTTATGTCTTAAAATGATTGTACAGTCACAAACAGAGGTCCTGTCATTTTTCTGGTGCTTCATGAGCCCTGAGATTCAGACTCATGAACCCAAAGTATTAGGCACTGATGTTCATAAATGCTTCAGATTCACAAGTCTGAATCTTGGGATTTATGGAGCAGCAGAAGAAGTGACATGACTTTTGTTTGTGACTGTACAGTGGACCCTCACTTTACGCGGTCAATTCAACCCACAGGGTACCGCGGAAAGTGAGAAACGCGGAAAGTGAACAACATAACATATGGGATTAATGGAAATAGAGACCGGGCCGACCCCCAAACTCCACTTTTTCAGACACAATACCTACGTTGTAGTAAAGATAACTTCTTAATTTTATGATGGTATGCACACACAATTAATAATTAAGAGAAATATCAATAATATTAGGTTTTTTAACACTTACATTAGTAGAAAAGATGGCTGGGCACACGGGGATGGGGGGTTGGTTCCGAGGCAGAGGGCATATTATTGGCCCTCACTTGTATCACTATCCACCACAGAGGCTTGCAGGGCCTCTTTGTCAAACCCCTCAAAGTCCACGTAAATCCATATCCTCACTATAATTATCACTATCACTGACTTGGGCCGGCTATGGTGGGTGGCGGGTGAAGAACTCGGTAATGTTTTGATGACTGGGCGACCTTGTGCGCACCCTGCTTGCGCCGCTTACACAACATGGCGGATGGCGGGAGAGGGCGGGAGGTTTGGATCCAAAAATGGCGCGGCTCGCCAGCCACTCTCCGCGTAAAGGGGTACACTCACCGCGGAATGTGAGCATTCCGGTTTCGGCAGGGTACCGCGTAAAGCGAGGGTTGTCTGTACATTTAATTTATTTATTTTTTGTTTCTTAAGCATTTTCATTATCTATGCTACTCTATAATATAGTTAAGTCTAACAGTATAGTTATTCAATTTTCTACCCATGTGAAAGTACCATATTTCCTGCTATATTATGCTCACCGCCTCACACCCCTCACTTACCGGGGGAATATCTGGAAAAGAATATTTTAAGCAGCTGCAGCTTCCTCAACAGTTGCTACCTTAAGCTTACTCTGCCTTATATCCTGGGCCGGATTAAAGGTCTCGTGGGCCTGGGGCTAATTAAGTCCAGAGGGCTATTTGCATAGGCTAAAATATATAGGCTAATATGTACAGTATGTATGTTTGTATGTACCGGTATGTATGTATGTATGTATGTATGTATGTATGTATGTATGTATGTATGTATGTATGTATGTACAGTCGGGGTAAAAAGTCTTGAACACTTAACAAATTCTGGCATTTACTTCTGAGTTATACATGTATGATTGGGATATACCCTGTACTAGCAACACTACTTATTATCACATATTATGCCTGAACCACAAAATGGGATAAAACTCTCCTTAATACCTAAGATCTTTGGGTACTTACCTGCCAAATACTGTCAAGTGTTCAAGACTTTTGAGTGTATATTGAGTATATATTGTATGTATATTTTATGTATGTATTTGTGTATATAATTGTGGCAGTAATTGATTTTTAGTTTACATATCTATTACAATCTCTTCAATACATATATACTACCATTAGCAAGTGTCATCAGTTATAAACTTCTATTTTATAAGTATTTTATCCCTCAAAAATAAGACGCTCACTCTCAGCTGGAAGACCATGAACAAACTCCCATCTCCTGTGACTGAGAAGCTCCAAAACTTCATATTTTGGCCAATAGCATCAGACTTATGTCATCTAGAGCCAATAACAGCTCGATAAGTCTTCTCCAATTTGCCAACCCCAAGGTGGGAATACACCTTTTCACATATCCGTTGAGACATTGTTACAGAACTATTTGATAAATTTCATAACCGAATGACAGAACATATATCAAATGACAATCTAAAATAAGTGTTCGTTCATGCTTACGGAAGTGAATGACATAAGTTATTTAGTTGACAGATGTGAACAATAAACCGACAGTCTACATATAGTTTGAGAATGTAACAATTGGAGAATGACATACCACCAACAGTTATTTTAGATTGTCATTCGATATGTGTTCTGTCTGTCATTCGGTTATGAAATGTGTCAAAATGTTATGTATCAATGTCTCAACAGATATGTGAAAAAGTGTACTCTCTTACCCAGAGCGGTAAATTTGAATGTCAGTGGCACAAGATATAAACAGTAATGAGATCTAAAATAATGATCGCCAGCCAGAAAAGCTCTAATATTTCAACTCGCCCACCTGGATTTTTTATTGCCTGTGGCGACTGGACTTGTTATTTTGTGCTAGTCTAAGAGACCTAATAGAGAAAGGGCTTATATTTTTGTAATGAATTTTGTGGGTCTATTTTTCTAGTGGGCCTGGGGCTACAGCCCCATTAATAATGCACCCTTGCTTATATCTTATATTGCTGTACCTTAGAATTACAGTTCTGCTATTTGTGTTTTTATAAACCTAACACATGCAAGTGTGAAAAATGGCCTAAGGAAATAATAATGATGATGATGAATTTCTCTTTACAAGGAAATTTAAGATGTTTTTATATTTTAAGTCTGCTTTTTTCTATACATTTCCAACCTAGGAATATGTTTTGGTAATGTAATTTGTAAAAGTAAAAACTAAGTAGTGGTGGAGAAATTTGTGTGCAATCACTTCACTTATAACTAAGAGTGTGTGATATCATCTACAAAAGAAAATCTGATTCAGGCATGAAGGATTGTTTAGCTGCCCTCTGATGACCTCTATGTGCAACATAAGATTCCCTTGTTTCCATTTCTCTACCTTCCCACTTCAATTTTGCTACATCACCATAAAATCGAAGCCCCCCCCCCCCTGTACTGTACCTACATTAAAGATACAAATTAATATACAATTATAGATAACTACAGGACCTGTATATGTAATACAAACACAAAGAACCAGAGCCATGATGAAACTTGCGACACAAGCTGTCCACCATTCTTCCACCAAGCAATTTCATGCTACCGATTTGTTTTAATTATCCATTTCTCAAAATATCATAAAAATATTGAACCCTTAGGATTTCTCGGCATACACCAACGAATGCAAATACAGGTGTATGTATGTATAAAAATACATAATATAGAAAAACTACTGTACATGAGGAGGCTATAATTCACTGTAGAGAACTGTACCTTGAACTATCTGGTAACTGCACGTCATTAACATGGTACAGGTCCAGGCGGCGGTGAGACAGGACTGGCATTTCTTGGCGAATTGTCTCAAGATATTCCAGGTTAATGTCTGCTAATGCAAAGTTTGTGCCTTCACTGACTTGACACACTACAGCCCCCCAAGGGTCGACAATCTGGAAATAGATAATTCAGCTGAAATTAACCAACTTCCAAATTACAAAGAAGGTGAAATAAGCAACCTTTCTAACCCTTATACCAGGATATAGTACAATAATGAATGTACTGTGCAGACAACCACCAAAGTAACTTTAAATTTTTTTGTTAGATAATGGAAGAAGAATTTTGATAACCCTACCAAGAAAACAGGAGTCACAGTGTTAATCTTGAAATTCATCGGACCCTTCCCTATAGAAAGTTTTTTGACTGAGTGTAAAGTGAATTAATGTGAAATTCTATAAATACATGAGGAGATCAATTGGTAGTTGCTGGTTGATGGAGTGTCAGATAAAAAAAAGGTTAACTTGTATTATTAGTTCATGCATCAGAAAAATCCCTTTTATGAGAATTATGAAGAAAAATACAAATTACACTGTAGTCTTCTTAAACATTAGAAGTTTTAGTAGAATATACATGCTTCACCCCGACAGACTCTCCACACGCTTACTGACACATACCTGTACTGCATACTGTACAAGTGTCCTCCTCTACTTACGAGCATTCAACCTGTGAACTTTCTGATACAAACAAACCTGTCCAAATGTTCAATTACTGTACCTACTAAATTAATATAAGATTGTTATTTGATTTGACACACACCTGTGCCAAATATGACAGTGTTAATATGACAGACAAATCCCTGAGGTCAACTGAGATGTATAGAACAGCAAGGGCATATATCTCAATATCTCTACTGAGTTCATTTTTCAGGCTGTACTGCATGTTTTCTGCCCTTGTTTCTTATGGGGATTGCACCATTCTGGAGGCATATCAACACTGCTCGACATCATTTTCTGATAGAGGACCGACAGAGAAAATGGGATACGTTCTTGCTATTGTAAATGTCTCAAATAAGGAAGCTAACTGTCAATGTTCATACACCTCTGAGATATTAAGCCTCAGGACCAACAGACAGACAGACAGTACCAAAAATCAAGATCCAGTATTGTAATGTGAACAGAAATAACCACAAAGACAGCATTCACAGAGAACCATAAAGACTTTGTTAATGGATACCTTTTCTTCACTGCTGTCAAGATTGATTGATTGGGCAACATACATGGCGTCGCACTGCCGTTAAATAAAAAAACAAAGTAAAACGAGATAAGTTTCCACATCCCATACCATAGCATGTCCATAAGAAGACCGTTTTATGTTGTGCTGGCCCGTCTGAGCTGCTGCCACCACATAACACTGCGTCTCTGAAATATAAAGATGATTTCAGATACGTATTACTTTATGAGATTTATCTACAGAATTTAAAGATCTATCCATTTATCTCTCTAAACATATTTAGTAAAGAAAATATGAAATAATTTGACTGACTGACTTGGTAAAATACAGTTCAGTAGCTCGCATCACAGAATGTGGCTATTTGACACCAAAAATTATAATCTTAAGTAAAAAATATGATATAAATAAAATAAAAATCCGGTAAGTTTAAAGATCAAAATTAATATGAAAGGAAACAGTGACGTTTCTTTTCTGACTAAAATGGAATAACAGTGTATAGATAGCATTGTGTGTCTGTCCAATATTCACCTGAGACTTCTGACACTGAATCTTAAAAAAAAAGACCAATTTTCAATCCAGGATATAAAAAAATCAAAAAGTAAAAGGCTGTATATACTTACTGGATACTAAGGGTAAGTGGCAGTGAAACTAAAACCTCTTGTATGTTTCCAAACTCCTGAGTCAGAGATACACAAGTGGTTTGTCTCGGTCTATCAGAGATGGAATGGTTTGTGAAGTTAATTTTATTAGTGTTTACTTAACCTACTTTCTCTTGGCTCTACATCAGTGGTCCCAACCTGAGTTTTGCAAGACACATGTGGCCCCAGAACTGTATTTTGTGTGGACCTTAAGCCTTTCAGTAATAGGCAAGTTACACTAAATTTCATGAACATTTTATCATTCGAGTGAAGTCTAGAATTTCACACTGATATAAATTCCTACATTTAAGGATAATATTTTTCTTATTTGATTTTGTTAAACTGGTGATTACGGAAGTAACTAATCTACTCACTTTCCATTTCAAAGTGTGGCACTCATCACACATTTGACCATTCAATGTGGCCCACTTACATAAAAAGGTTAGGGACCACTGACCTAAAGTAATAATTGGAGGCATCTATGAGAGATATACAGTATATACTTACAGAACCGGATATGGTGGGGGGGAGGGGGCAATGAAATGATGATATATATATAAACAATGTACAGAATAAAAAAAATTTACCTATTGCACGAACTCTTAAAAGAGCCTCCCAATGTGCCAGTCCAGTTGTTACCGTAAATGCTGAAGGAAAGGTCAGAATCTGAGCACCAAGTTTCCTCTGTATGAGACTCATCTCTGGGAAGCGCATGTCATAGCACTGGTCAGATAATTAAGGAATAAACACACAATGGTGAATGAGTAATTGCCAGAAGTAGTCGGTTTCTAAAGGTCAACTATGAGACTGATAAAACACAGGACTAATATTAAAATTTTACTTCCAGAACTAAAGATGGTCCCATCTCAGTATAGCCTAACATGGGCTGTGTCCACTTGTCCCCTTTATCCACATAGGTTACGTTCTTGGATATCGTCGCGATGATCATTTTTGTCATAATATTTTAGGTTAGAAATTATAAATGTTTCAAATATGGTGTTGATATGTATCTGGAGTAAGTTTTGATAATAAAAATTAATACATTTTAACATAAATAATTGTTTTCTTTACATATAATTCAGGTCTGAGTAAGTAAATAAACACATAACTTACAGTATACCTCTCAGGATATTACAGTCCACCCTGTCATGGTCACAATAGCACAGCTAGTATGTTCACCACTTAATTATTCAAATTATGCTCCACCGTCCACAAAACATGTGAAACTAATGAGTTACCCCTAGGAAGAGACTTGTTTTCCCTAGCGAGAGGTAACCATCCGTTTTCTCTTAAGTCCTTAAGTCACTTCTGTAATGTAAATTTTAAGTTAAGAAATAACTGTATGAGTAGCCCTAAGTCAGATAAACCCATAGTGAGATAAAGCATTCAAGATGTATTGAGCAAATGTTGATAGTGTCATATCTCTTTATGTGTAGAGTAAATTGTGTTAAGATGATGTGTTCTTAAGCTGGGATTACTTATCCAGTGTTCGTAAGAGAACGAGACGACAGTTCATAACTGAAGTTTATCTTTTTGATCTGTGAACCTCAGAGAATCCGATGATTGTATTGAAATTATTGTTAGTTTTATATTTAAGATGCTCATTAATCTTGTTAGCATAATCTGTCGACAGTAAAAAACTTTGAAATATAACTTATACTCATGGATAAAATGGATGTAGTTGTCAGAAGCTCCCCCTACAGTGTTATTGCCAACCTGGGCACTTGACATCAGTGTAATTCTTGCATTGCAAAGCTCAAACACTGATTAGATTATAAAAGTTAATCTTAGAAAATTAATACTTTATGAATTCATAGTCTAATTTTCATAAGCCAATGTGTACAGTAAATGAGACTGATATATATGTCTGTGAAATTCCTGTCTAAGTATCTCAGGGGCATAAAGAGGGAGCGCGGAGTTTGAATCGTTCACTCTGAACGCCCTTCTGCTCATCAACCAGGCACTGTGTGGGTTACTGGAACTCCCGGGAGGGGGTGGCCAGTAGCCAAGAGGATGTCTGATGAAGGAGGTCTTTAATTTGTCAGCATTAGAATCTTGAGTTGATGGCGCCGACGAGTCATGGGACTGCGGGTACGGTCATGTCCGGCAGGCATGGCTCGAGTCCAGGACGAGGCAGATCCTAGCCACCTTGTCAAGGAGCGTACACGCTCAGCTTGTTTTGCATAAAAAACACGGCTTTCTTGGCTGTGGTAACATCCTGTATGTATCCGTAATTGTTGCTTCACGAATCTGATTCTCTCCTGGGAAATGAATACTGATGTATCCTGTGATTTGAAGAGCAATAAGAAGGTATGAAATTGTTGAGAGACGAGAGGTAAGGTTGTATGACTGACTCATGGAGTCATGATAACTGTGGGTACCCGAGTAACATGTATCCCCCCCAAGTGACGCGAGTAATAATAATTACTGTACACGAACAATATTGTGACGGGTGTTTGAGGAGTGCTATGAAGTGTTAATAAGTGGTAATGTAATAATATTGAAGTGTGGACGACCAGTCCTTGTAGTGTGTCACTATCATAGAATGTCACCAGAAACCTACAGTACTTTTGACTGAATAATGGTCCTGTTGACGTGAATACAGTACTTGTTTGGCTGACGTGAAAGTATGGCCAAGTGGTCTTTGAAGCTTTTATCAACATAAATTTGGCCAAGTCTTGAATGAATCCTGAGGAGTGGTTCATACAGTAGGTGTATGTTCTGGTAAAGTATGTATTGTATTCACCTTTGTTTCTTCCCCTTACCTTGATACAATTAAATACCAACAAAATTCATGTGTCCTAGACCTCGCCACATTACTACCACTCATTGTCCTGTTAGTATCACCTTGGTGATGGCAGCTACCAGGAGTATTGAAGATTGTAACATAATAAAGGGATTACCAGGTAAGCCCTAGGTCAGAATATAACTAGATAAAGGGACAAGTATAAGAAGATTAACAGAAAGAAATACTTTGAGAAGTTGAAGCAGAAAAGAAAAATAGAAACATATAAATAAATAAAGAAGAAAGAATTAAATAAAATGGTTAACAGCAGTGGGATAAAAAAAAAAAGCCCCTTATAACCCTAGTAAAACCATTTTCTCTAAAACAGAACAAAGAGCAAAAATTACAATACAATACTTTAATGTGGCTTAGAAATAAAGAAAATATAATATAAAACTATAAAACAAGAAAAATTAAGCACATGGGTGTTTATGTGTGGGAAATGTACATACTGTATGTGTGGAGCAAGTGAGCACTGTGCTGTAATTACACCTCGACTTGATTTGCTTTCCTGGCCATCAACTGCTGCAGTTATTATGGCCGTAGACTTGTTAGTTTGACATTTTCCTTTGGTTCTTTTTCTTCTTTTGCATTTTCCACCCTTGATCTTCTCCATGTTCTTCATTATTTTGATCTTGTGTTCTTCGGTTCTTCTTCCTTTTTTGTTGGGTTTCTTCGTTCTCTTGTTTCTTAGTTTACTATTATAAAAATGCTTCCTTTGGTTCGTTTAATATTTACCAGCAAAAATCTTAAAAAAAATAAATAAATAAAAATGTTCACCTTATAAACGAGTTAATCAATATAAGAAAAATACCAGAAGAATGTTCATACCAACTGTACATTCAATTTTCATTGTAGTATGGTTGGAGAGTTGTCTGGAGTGTGGAGTGATGAAAGATGTTTAGTTTGAAGCTGCCGAGCACAGCCCAGAGTGAGCGGGAAGTGATGTTGACATGCATTTGCAACACACAGGTCTTACTTGAAGGCACTTTTATATAATATTTCTATCTTAGAGCAACTATGGGTATAAACACAAAATATTTCCATATGTGCCTGTAAATATCTCAAGTGACTCGAAGGTACGTGCATCCAAAACAGTATAAATTTATCTCTCTCTGTACACCCAGGGTCAAAAGTTTGTTCCCTCACCAAACTGAAGCAGTGATGTGCCTGTAAATATCTCAAGTGACTATAAGTACAGTAATTTATATTATCAAAACAGTATAAATTTATCTCTCTCTGTACACCCAGGGTCAAAAGTTTGTTCCCTCACCAACTGAAGCAGTCTTGACCTCAAACGAAATAAAACGGCACATCTGCACCAGATGACAGCCAGGGTAGGAAAGTTCAGAGACTCATTCCTCTGACTTAGTTTCACCACAGGGAGTGAACTTTTAACCGCAACTGTACAGTGTAGAGTAATACTAAAAGGATACAATAGACAAGGCAACTTGGCCCACGGGTGTAGACACGGGGGGACGTATTGACCCGCCGGCAGACACATAAGTCTTTTCCTCGAGGTGAAGGTTCCTCTCAGGGATGTGTACACTGAAGAGGTGCACCTTACTGTAGCTGGAGACGATCATCCCTCGGTCATCTATCATCAGATGGGTGTTACTTATCTTGTCCTCTCCTTCATTCTGAGCATCAACATACATAACAAGTTGGTTATTAACAAGAGAGATGACACAACCTATTCTAGAGAAACAAATGCTCTGTAATGATAAAGTACACTCTGAACTTTCTTTTACTGTTTTCAGATATAAAAAGTGGTTTTAGTGTTTAGTATATAAATATGTTCAGTGTTCATCAAGCTACCCTAAAGCAATAAAACATTTCTTCAGCATAGTAAATAAAGGTTTTCTATGCAAGACATGGCAACAAGTAACACAGAGTACAATATCTATTTTCAACATTTATGTTATTTGCCAATACTGTACTATGTGCACCAGATAACTTCAAGCATCATACTTATTAAGTAACTAAAGCTAACATCCTTCACACCATTTCCCACAATAAGTGTGGTGTCAACACCCAAGTGAAAAAGGTTAGTTTAGCCCGGGGAGCTGATGTGATAAGTGACCAACGTAACACACCAACACAATGAAAGTGAGTCTCATAGACCTTATGGGCAGTTAATCCCTTCACTTTGGGACACCACTTCCATATTTTATTTGGCTGATGCCAGATGATTTTATTCTGCACAAAGACCCACAAGTGGTTAAGCAGTGCAGATAAAACACACTGAATACTAAGCCTTCAGTACACAAGGAGGCAGTGTAGCCAGCACAGCCCTCAATAGCTTCACTTCAACTCAAAAGTCAGGTACCCATTCACAGCTGGGTGGATTTATGATGTACTGGGCACATACAACACACTTGAGACAGCAGGAGACTGCTGTACCCACTCAGCCAACACACCTGTTACAGCACAATAATCCCTCATTTACCTTTACCTAGTCATGGGACTGAACTGTCTTGTGACCTGAAAGTACAGAACACTGCCAACAGAGAGAGTGTAGGTAGTGAGAGAACTGTGAAAATATGAAAAATAAAAATTATATTGTGTTCGTGGACAATTATACTTACTGTGAGTTGAGGAAAGGAGAGAAGGGTGTGGATCAAGTAATGTACTTGTAATAAGAAACATGGGCGAAATGATACCAGAAACGAGAGTAGGAACCTTAAACCAAGACAACAATATGTACTTGTTCGAAACAAGGTTAACAAAGTACGTACTTGGGTTCACACGAAGGTGTGTTACAAGACTAGCAAGGTTATCCTAAAACTGTATCACATGTATGTGAAACCTCACTTGAATTAAGAGGTACAGTTCTGGTCACCATACTGTAGAATGGATATCAAATCCTTAGAAAGCATTCTGAGGAGGATGACAAGACTAATCCCTTGAGTATGGAGACAGATTAAAGCATCTGAATTTGTACACTCTTGAGAGGTGTAGAGTGTGGGGCGATACGATTGAGATGTATAATTGGAAGCCAAGGTTAAACAAAGGTGATATAACAAAGGTATCTGAACTATCCAACCAGGAATGAACTCATAGCAATGGTTTTAAATTAGGCTCAAGATAGGTAAACACTGGCCTGGAAATAGAGTAGTGGAGAGTGAAACAAGTTACCAAACATCATCACTAATTCGAACACGCTGGGAAGCTTCAAATGTAGGATGGACGGATATATGAGCACTATAGGTTGGGTGTAAATGGGGCTGCCTAGTGTGGGCCAATAAACCCACTGCAGTTTCCTCCATTCTTAAACCCATGGTACAGTATGTGAAAAGTATTATTCTATCAAATATAAAGTGTTTAAATTCTGACATGCAGAAATACTAGAAAATGCATGAATTTAGGAGAAGTATAAGGTATAATTTTGTATAAAATATTCAATAAAGAGTACTCAAATTGTTATTTATATGTTCTCATAATATATTTATGACCTATTGAATTCAGTATTTTTTGTTGTACAGTACAGTAGATTACAGTATAGTAAAGTAGATTACAGTACAGTATTTCACTACAGTACAGTACAGTAGATTACAGTACAGTAGATCACTGTACAGTACAGTAGATTACAGTACAGTAGATCACTGTACAGTACAGTACAGTAGATTACAGTACAGTAGATTACAGTACAGTAGATTACAGTACAGTAGACTACAGTAAAGTAGATTACAGTATAGGAGATCACTGTACAGTACAGTACAGTGGAGTCTGCATTTACGCGGTCAATTGAACCTGTGGAGGTCCGCGTAAAACGAGAAACGCGTAAATGAAATAACAGAACAAATGGGATTAATTGAAATAGAGACCGGGCCGACCCCCAAACTCCACTTTTTCCGATACAATACGTACGTTGCAGTCAAAATAACATCTTAATTTTATGATGGTGTGCACACACAATTAATAATTAAGAGAAATATCAATAATATTAGGGTTTTTTAACACTTACGTTAGTAGAAAAGATGGCTGGGCACACGGGGATGGGAGGTTGGTTCTGAGGCAGAGGGCAGATTATTGGCCCTCACCTGCATCACTTGTGTCAATTGTATCACTATCCACCACAGAGGCTTGCAGGGCCTCTTTGTCAAACCCCTCAAAGTCCATATCCTCACTATCACTGACTTGGGCCGGCTGTAATGGGTGGCGGGGGAAGAAATCGGTAATGTTTTGATGACTGGGCGACCTTGTGAGCACCCTGCCCGCACTGCTTCCCGCATAAATGACCAAATTTACCGCGTACCTAAAGCATTTCATTCTGGCAAGGCACCACGTAAATGACTAAACGGGTAAACAAAAGCCGCGTAAGTGCAGACTATACTGTACAGTAGATTATAGTACAGTAGATTACAGTATAGTAGATCACTGTACAGTACAGTAGATCACAGTATAGTAGATCACTGTACAGTACAGTAGATCACAGTATAGTAGATCACTGTACAGTACAGTACATTAGATTACAGTACAGTAGATTACGGTACAGTAGATTACGGTACAGTAGACAGTAGATACAGTACAGTAAACTACAGTACAGTAGATCACAGTATAGTAGATCACTGTACAGTACAGTACATTAGATTACAGTACAGTAGATTACGGTACAGTAGATTACGGTACAGTAGATTACAGTACAGTAAACTACAGTACAGTAGATTACAGTATAGACGATCACTGTACAGTACAGTACATTAGAATACAGTTCAGTACAGTAAACTACAGTACAGTAGATTACAGTATAGTAGATCACTATACAGTACATTAGATTACAGTATAGTAGATCACTGTACAGTATAGAACAGTAGATTACAGTACAGATTACAGTACAGTAAATCACTGAACAGTACAGTACAGTAGATTGCAGTACAGTAGATCAATGTACAGTACAGTAGATTACAGTACAGTAGATCACTGTACAGTACAGTAGATTACAGTATAGTAGATCACTGTACAGTACAGTATATTACAGTATAGTACAGCAGATTACAGTACTTATTACAGTACAGTATATTACAGTACAGTAGATCACTGAACAGTACAGTAGATTACAGTACAGTACAGTAGATTACAGTATATATCACTGTACAGTACATTAGATTACAGTATAGTAGATCACTGTACAGTACAGTATATTACAGTTAAGTAGATCACTGAACAGTACAGTACAGTACAGTAGATTACAGTATAGTAGATCACTGTACAGTACAGTAGATTACAGTACAGTAGATCACTGTACAGTACAGTAGATTACAGTATAGTAGATCACTGTACAGTACAGTATATTACAGTACAGTACAGTAGATTACAGTACAGATTGCTGTACAGTATATTACAGTACAGTATATCACTGAACAGTACAGTACAGTAGATTACAGTACAGTAGATCACTGTACAGTACAGCACAGTAGATTACAGTACAGTATATTACAGTACAGTAGATCACTGAACAGTACAGTACAGTAGATTACAGTACAGTAGATTACAGTACAGTAGATCACTGTACAGTACAGTAGATTACAGTACAGATTACAGGACAGTATATTACAGTACAGTTGATCACTGTACAGTAAAGTAGATTACAGTACAGATTACAGGACAGTATATTAGCAGTATAGTAGATCACTGTACAGTACAGTAGATTACAGTACAGATTACAGGACAGTATATTACAGTACAGTAGATCACTGTACAGTAGAGTACAGTAGATTACAGTACAATATATCACTGTACAGTACAGTAGATTACAGTATAGTAGATCATTGTATAGAACAGTAGATTACAGTACAGTAGATCACTGTACAGTACAGTAAATTACAGTACAGTACAGTAGATTTCAGTACAGTAGATCACTGTACAGTACAGTAGATTACAGTACAGTAGATCACTGTACAGTACTGTACAGTAGATTACAGTACAGTAGATCACTGTACAGTCCAGTAGATTACAGTACAGTACAGTAGATTACAGTACAGTAGATCACTGTACAGTACAGTAGATTACAGTACAGTTGATTACTGTACACTACAGTAAAGTAGATTACAGTACAGTAGATCACTGTACAGTACAGTAGATTACAGTACAGTAGATCACTGTACAGTACAGTACAGTACATTACAGTACAGTAGATTACTGTACAGTACAGTACAGTACATTACAGTACAGTAGATTACAGTACACTAGATTACTATACAGTACAGTAGATTACAGTACAGTACAGTAGATTACAGTACAGTAGATTACTGTACAGTACAGTACAGTAGATCACTGTACAGTACAGTAGATCACTGCACAGTACAGTAAATTACAGTACAGTATAGTAGAATACAGTACAGTGCATCACTGTACAGTACAGTAGATTACAGTAGATTATAGTACAGTACAGTAGATTACAGTACAGTATACTGTATAGCATTAAAGACCTTTCATGGCAGTGATTTTGTATTGTTTTATTTTGTTTACCTAATTTGGAATTGTGGGGATCACGATTGCACGTTTTAATGTAATGGTAATTGATTACTGTACAGTACACTACTTTTGGTAGGAATAATTTTTTATCATAATTGTAATCATGAATTTGCAGAGTTAATTGTAATCAATTCCATTTGTAGAGGAATCATAACATGATCTGGTGGCATTAATCCTTAAGCCCCGGGTTAAGGTGCTGCTGCTGGCAGTAACCCCGGGATAAATCGAGAAAAAATATAAACTTTTCCAAAAATAATAAAAAAATAAATAAAATGGCGGGAAAATAGGCAACGTTCTGGAACGTCACCCGGGGCCTAAGGGTTAATATATACATACAGATGGTATGATACAATGGATACAATGTGAGACATATTAAAAAGTATAAGATGAAGGGATCGTTATTGAATGACATTCAAGAGTTTTATGTAGTGTGTGAAGCACAAGTGAGTGAGTGCCTCCATTCACAAGTGACAAAAACCAACTTGAAACTTACCTTAATGTGAAGCCCTCCTAGTGACAACCAGACATGTGTTGAGGCTGCCAGCTCCCGATACTTGGCTACCAGCGGTCCGTGGATAGATTCTGCGAGCTGAACCGACTCTTCCTTTGACTCGGCGATATAATCACATGCTTCGGGAAGGAACACCATCTTCCAAAAGTAGGACAAAACCGTAAATTAACATTAATTATATGACTCAAACTATAATAAGATTATCATGACATCACTTCCCAAGCAGCTAATCAGGGGGCATCTAGAGAGTGAGGTGCCAAAGTGTTACAAAGGTATAACTGATGGTGGGATTAGAGAGGAAAGTCAGTAGCAATGTAGGAGAGGGGGCAGGCAGGCTTGCATGTACAGAAGTCTTGCCAGAGGAACAAGTGTTAATTTCACAAGTATAAATTAATTACAGTCTCTCCTCGACTTACGACAACCCTGACATACGACAGCCATGGTCGTATAAAATATTTTTCACATTACTGTACGTATTTTCGAGAACTGACGTTAGTGATCGCGCTGTGTACTGACAAAATTTTTGTTTGTAATCCCCTTTAAAATGGCTGGCAAGCGTAAAAATGAGAGTTCTCGTGGTGCTGAGAAGAAAAAGAGACACCCATTTTAGAATTTCTATGTATTATTTTCGCCTTTTCGATTTATGACCTGGTCGTCGGGACGGAACCCCGTCGTAAGTCGAAGAGAGACTGTATATCTTATTTGTATACATTTACTGTACATTTATCTGGTGTATAAAAGCTACACAGTAATTATACATTCCAATTTATCAGTTATGTCAAAGAACTGTACAGTACTTAAAACACTGTCTATCTCTTAACACTGACCTGAGCTCCTGACCTGGCTGCTCTCTCCACCAAGTCAACACAAGTCTTGAAATTAATGTCCTTATCACGAGAGGCAGTCATCTGTGTAACCGCCACTCTCTTAGGCTGAAGGTCTCTTTCCCTGTAACTGTGATAATATCTAAGACAACTGGGAAATGAAGTATGCCCCATAAATGTGACAGCATTAGGTTAGCATTAGGGTGGTTAATCTTTAGGTGAAATAAGCTGGGATGTATATTATTCAGGTGATCCAACTTACCTACTATTCATCCTGTACAGGGTGTGGTTTTTAGACATCAAAAGGTTCCTGTAGCAGATGAAGTTCTCCCTAGTTAACAACCTCCTCGATAAAATTTTCATTGAAAGTTGACGTAACAGATGTACAACTGATGCTGCAAATAAAGAAATGACTGAAAAAAAGGGATAAAATGTTCCGTCATTTTTTTAATATGACTTTCTGATATCTCAAATCACAACTACAGTGTTTGATGTAAAATATCCAATATATATTCTCATACATAGAATTGAGACCAAGCTGTGCAGATTATGTGGAACATAGTACCTATACTGTATACAGTACAGTGTATGCCACGGGCAGGCAGCTTTTGAAATTTACTGCCAGTTTTTGTTTTACTTACCCCGACAGATTTTTTGAAGGAAATTTGCTTGCCTCTATTTTTTGTCCTGGGAAAAGATAATCAAACATTTTAAAACATTCAAAATTACTGCAAGTATCACACATCACTTGTGTCTGCCTAAATACCTTTTATACTCTCACCCTTCTCCATTCTGTGGACAACTGCAGCTTCTGGCTGGTGCCAATGGTGATTACTCTTGTCATGTCATGTTATAACTCCTGTCACCTCACCTAACTTCAAACCTACAAGGATCTCAGGCAACACCTGAGATCACCTACCCTAACTACCACTCCCCTTATAAAATAGTGTCACCTGTCACCTCATATCCACGGCCTCTCAGCTTGATGGTTCCTTTGAAATACAGTATTGACAAGTTTACCAACTTCCTAGTGACGGGTTGGCAGCTTAATATTGAGATACATTACCTGCACTTGACAAAATCACTAATCCTGGTACACTGATGACAAGCAGTCCATTGACGGACCTCCTTGGTTAAACATCTGCAGTGAGGTTAAGGTCATGCGGCACCAGACAAATTTCCTTGGTATTTACCTCTCAAAACATTAGCTTCACTGCCAAACAACTGTTGGGTACATGGACATTAAAAATTATCTGCCCGGCCTCTTGTCTGGGCACTGCTAATCTGCACAGCCTGAGTGTGAGCTATACTGTATCATGATAGAGAGCATGAACTCATTTATGATCAGACTTCACCTATACTTGTGTGTGTTCTGGTGCACTCTAAAAGTCTGTGCATACAGCCAACAATTGTAGTATTTTGGTTAGGTTAGGGTAGGTTAGTTTTCTTCATTACAGAATGTAGCTCTATCTAAAAAATATATCTTTGAAAGAAACCACAGACCAAACTGAAGAAGTAACATGAAGCAGATCCTCTACTAACAGAATAAAAAAAAATCATAAAAGGAAAATTAAACAAAACACTTTCCTTGTACAGTTTTTGTCAGTTTCTCAAAGTAAAAAAGCATTATATTTTAGTTTCGGTCATCCGGGGAATCTTGGGAATTTAGGCAGTGGTGGGCACAGCTAAACGAAAAGTTAGTTCGCTAACCGCTAATCTGCTAACTAAAAGGTAAACTTCGCTAATGCTAAACAGATAAAAAAATTAGCGGAAGCTAACGCTAACTTTTATTATATGAATTTAGCTTCGTTTTTTTTTTTGGGCTCTAAAACCCTTAAAAACAGACCTGGAGACCTGAAATTTTCATATGTTGTCTTGTAGCTTAGACATAGAGCTTTCCAAAAAGGTATAGCATGCCAAGATCAGATGATGATCAAGGTGTACACAAATAATTAAATGAACAAATGAAATTAAACATTAGTTTACATTCAAGTTTCAACATACACTTCATAATCTTTATTTACTGTACAAAAAGATAGAAAGCAACAAACGAATCCAAAAACTATAGTACTGTATAGCATAGGTAGCAAATAGCATCATGCCAAGATCAGATGATGATCAACTTATCAAGGTGTACACTGTACACAATTTCACAAATAATTAATTTGCATTCTCATACAACCTATCGGCCTTATTCATTATTCATGTAAATATGCAATACCAACCACATACACATTATACCAGTGCATTTTTATATAACTTATTGTTGGTCTTAGTCATATATATACAGTAAACAGAAAACTCTAAACTTTAATGAAAAGTAAGTTTTTAGACAATTTTGTTTGGCACACACCTTGGATGACATCCTGGTTATGAACTTATGCAGTCCTTAGCATAACCAAATATATTGACACAAAAAATCCTAATTAAATTAACAAATAAATGAGAAATGAAATTATACATTAGTTTACAATTACATTCTATGATTCTTTCAACATACACTGACAGTCTTCACTTTCCATAACAATAAGCGATAACATACGCTGCTGTCGCTGACACTGTAAGACTGCTTAGACTGTCTGTAACGTGACAACGTCGTAAGTGAACTGAACTCAGAACTGCGGAATTACACAATGTTGCTGAGCTGCTGCAGCGCGGCGTCGACAAATCATGTCTTGTCACGTTTACACATACTAACACGCAGTCAGCCAAGCGTGCCTGAGTGGCTGTTGGAGACGCGTCGCGGCGTCACACGCTTACAACAGACAGGAACAAACATGTATAAATTTTGTTAGCGGACTTAAAGTTAGTGCAACTAAATTTAGTGGAAGCTAATTGGTCCACCAATGGTTTCCAAAGTTAGCGAAAACGCTAATCCACTAACAAGAAAGTTAGCTTCGCTAATTAGCGGTTAGCGGAACCGTGCCCACCACTGAATTTAGGTTAGGTTAGATATAGTTCCTGGGTTCTGTGGCTAAGTTAGGTTAGAAAAACAAAGTTTGGATATCGAAATACTGGGATGTCCGAAACTAAAATTTTACCGGTAAGAAAGCTTTATTGTCAATGGGAAAAAAAAATCTCAAGTTAGTGCTAAGGCCAGAGCAATCTCATCACGTATTACCTCTATATAAAAATCTGGTTAAGTTGCTGGCTATTGGGGGACAGGGTGTTCGAGTATTACCATTCTCTCTGCTTCACAACCTTTTTTTTCATATCCTCTTCACCACTGATCGGCTCGTTAACCGCTTGGGCGATCGGTTACGTCTCTTACACACTGTTGCCAAGTACTGGGCATGTACTGGTTGTTACACACTGTTGCCAAGTACTGGGCATGTACTGGCTCCGTTACACACTGCGGCAAGTACTGAGCATGCACTGGCTCCTGGTCCTGAATGTATCTGACCCTGCTCCAGTGCTTATCCAGTCGGAGCACAAGCTAAAATCATGCACAAGAAAAGCAAATCATGACAAACAAGTCCATCTCTGGAAGCTGTGGGATGAATATGAAGAAAAAATATCTCCACTTCTAATTTCCTAAAAAACTTGTCATTGTCTTCTGCCTTGCATGAGTAAATGTTAGTCTTTCACATACTGTATAAGTTAGATGATTGCAGGCGTATTAACAATGTTTTTATTTCTTATTTTCGTCTTTAATGAATTGTCTTAGTGTTTTTTTATTATTTTCTATCCCAAGCAACAGTTATTTTCGTGTATATATTGATGGGAATGTACAGGGTGACGAAAGGGGTAAAGCAGTGGTTACGAAACGGGTTAAAAATAGTGGTGACGAAGCGGGTTGGTGACGGTATGGGCAACCCCAAACTGTGTACACTAATTGTTTATTAATACAAACAATATCAAGAATAATCCGGTTGAGTTCCACAGAAAAACTATTATCAATAAGTGTGGGACGACTCACATTTTTACCTTCACATTGTCTTAGTGTAAAAGGAACTACTACATCTACCAGAAGGTATGGCATAAATTGCAAAATCACCAAATTACTAGTCTTGACAATAACCAAATATTGACGTGACAGGAGACACTGTTGAGTTGAAGCTCTGCCGTTCCTTCATTAATGCACCGTCGCTTTTTTCACGAGTAGGATGAACCTGTCCTTGTTTTACTCAATATCTTCACATTTACTTAACTTTAATTATCTTCCTTCACTTAAAATACACACAAACAATATATCTAATGTTCCAGCAAAATAATACTGATTGTTACCTGGAGTGTGAGGGAGACAGTGGCTGGCGGCGTCCTGCTGCTGGTGGCTGCCGTGTTGTTGTTGTCATCAAACAGCTGATCACCAATCACCATGACATTCACCTGCCCACCATTATCACTCTACCTGAAATAACACCATATTCCTGCTAATATATTTTACAATGAGACCAATTTCCTCTTCAGTAAACCTATACGAGCAGGTTTTTATTATAAGAAAACCAGAAACCAGTATAGAGGGGTTACCCGTGACGTCACAGACTTGAAGGTTTGCTTATGGGCGGCAAGAACACCAACCAGTGTCTTGTCTTGTACAGACTAATTTATTTGACTGGTGCTTTGTCAGTTGCACGAGCATACGAGGGAGGGTTCAGGCGATATTATTCTTACGAATCAAGACACCACGGGTGGATGCAGAATTTTCTAATGGAAAGTGGACATGTTGATAAGTGGACTATAGTGATGGTGCAGTTGCTGAAATGTGTTCCTACACCCCCTGTGGTAACCCGTGTCTCTAAACGGCAACATCACAGTTGTAGTATCACTATTTTGAATGAAATGGTATTGGTCATGTAACAACGGGCGTGATTGGTGGATAGGAGTGCTATACTGTAGGTCATACACGTTGGCCGTTTGGATACACTGGTCACCACAGGGGGTGTAGGAACACATTTCAGCAACTGCACCTTTGTGAAAATATGAAAATTATGAACTGGAAATTTCCATGAGGTTGAGTTACGTATTGGTCTGACACTACGGATGCTATGGTACTACCGAGAAACTGTCTTGGATAAGAACCCAGACAGTTGTCATTCCCACAACCAAAGATAATTCTGTACAATTATACAGGAACGGTTCCAGAGTGACAGGACCCGAGCCTTTCTTTCATACAACATAAATATAATTATATTTCAGAATGCACGAAATGCCTCAGTTTGAATTGCTGTAATGCCATAATGACATCAACTACTGTAGTAGTGGATATCATTGATAGAGTATGTCCAAAGTTGCCAAATTTGTGTCGGTGTTACAGCGGCTTATGTAGGACTTGGTTAAGGGAGGATTATAAGCTTTCCAAAATAAAGACGAAATGTAGAAAACAGCGAGCGACAAGGGTGTACACATCATCCTCAAGTATCCTTTGCAAATCTCGTTTAAAATCCTTCTAATAAAACACCTTATGTCGTGTCTTCCAACGCCCCGTAATTCTGGAGCTTAATGCATAAATTAAAATATCGTATGAACACATCTTGTACCAACAAAGTAATATATATACAACCAGTAAGACGTCTTGAGGCGGTGATGAGCGAGGACACCTTAGAAAACACCTGTTGAACACTACAGCCACGCCTCGTGAGCAAGACGGTTCCTCCCACCACCACCACCACATGAAGTCGTTACCTGTGTCAACACCTACAATATTACGTAAAGAGACAAATATCAACACGCTGTAACCTTTTGTAACACCCGGAACTTTGTGGCCCACTCTACCCTCCGTAACACTGAGACTTGCATCTATCTTGGTCTATAGATGAGGAGCCCCCCCACACACGTGTAGGTTGGTGAGCAGACTACCCTTGGCAGTTCTCTCTACGCGCTCAAGTCCGGAAAACCATTATAACGTCAATCAACCAGACTGGCGTGAAGGTGGTGGGAATAGGTAGTAGGAAGCCATCCAACAGAGAAGTACTACCGCCTGGGAAGACATAGGAAGCATAATGTATTGTCTAATGGTAGACCCTGCTGCCATATGGCATCACGAAAATTGACCAAGTCCCGGGTTGCTGATCTGACTTTCTGCCTCATTTACACACAATTGCTGAGTTTCAATTGTTTCTCTTACTTTGACAACACAACATACATACATCGTTTCTCATAGTGGTAGTTTTTCATTTTTGTATTTCTTCATGGTTCTGTATTATTATTATTATTATTATTATTATTATTATTATTATTATTATTATTATTACTACTATTATTTTTATTATTATCAGTGTTGTCGTTATTATTATTATTATTGCTATTTTATTTTTTATTTTTTATTTTTATTTTCAATTTTATTTACTATGAACTAATTATTAATATTATTATTATTATTATTATTACTACATTTTCGCCCCCCAGGCTCCGATGTGGGTCAGTGACCTGTGCCCGGGTGGGCTAATGCCTGTAAAAAAAAAAAATAAATAAATAAATAAATAACAAAATTGTGGCCGGTGATGACGTCTATCACAAACTCTGGTGTCCGCATTTTCCAAACATTCACAAGTAATGAAAAGTGACAGAAAACGAATAACTGTTGAACCTTATTAAACAGATGGGATAAACATTTCTATAATCAATAAAAGATTTCCTGAAATAATTATAGAAATAAATAAAATTCGGTCATATAGATCATACACAACACAAAGATTATTAGATATTGAAATTTATTTAAATTAATTTTCGAAGATCAGTAATATTACGACATTATATTGGCAGCATTAAATAAATCATGGTTAACAACACTCATATGAACACATTACAGTGAAAATAGATCCCATAGGCTTGGCATTCGGAACAGTCGGGACACAACACTATACTACACCGTCAGTACACATAGGGGCAGCGTGTCCGACAGAGCACTCGACCACCTTCACTTCCCAAACTGTAAAGTCAGGTACCCACTTACAGCTGAGTAGACAGTTTAATAATCTTTATTTGCATGCAGTTTTATAATGTAACAGTTGATTATTTACCTAAACATATTATGCGAATACTTTTTGCTGGACTACCCTACACTATTTAAAAGGAATTTGGTTCATTGCCACTGTCAAGATAACAAGGAACCAGTCGCACAGTTAAGACCAAAAACCAGTGACATAGTTAAGAAGACCAGGAACCAGTCACACAGTTAAGAAGACCAGGCAGGCACCATTCAAGTATTCGTGAACCTTACTGCAGGATATGAAACAGCGTTGAAAGTAATTTTTTTATTGGTGCTTCTCATTCCCCTAAGAAGAGTGTGGTTGTGAAAGCGTGGGCTCCCTCTCACATAGCTCCAGGTAGAGTGCGTGGGCATCTCTCAAATACTGTTCCAAGGGTAGTGTGTGTGGGCTCCCTACCACACAGCTCCAGGGGTAGAGTGCGTGGACTCCCTCACACACAGTTCCAGGGGTTAAGTGCGTTGGTGCTTTCGTTTCTAAGGACTCCATCACTCACTCTATACACTGGTCATAATCTGATCTGCTGACCACATTACATTAGAGCATAACACCTCATCCTCATCTCACCTCCACGATGGTCACACACACACGCTTGAGTCCTGTCCCCCGGTGTTACGTTGCCCACACCCTCTCCACTACTCAACTTATACGACACTACGTAGAAGAAAACTAACCAGTAAATGACTATACCTCTAGTTAGGTTAGGTTAGGTTAGTCATTGGATAAACAAAAACAAAATACGAATGTCAGAAATTCCTAGAGTGAATGAAAAACAAAAATAAGAGAACAGAACGATGTCTTTTATTGTTGTTGACAGGATGGTGAATATTTTGAGCTATTATACGAGAGATGTGATCGACCATGAAGGTTTTAATGTAGATTCGTGAAGCCTCCTAGGTCCTTCTGAGGTCTCGTGAAGCCTCCTATGTCCCTCTGAGATCTCGTGAAGCCTCCTAGGTCCCTCTGAGGTCTCGTGAAGCCTCCTAGGTCCCACTGAGGTCTCGTGAAGCCTCATAGGTCCCCCTGAGGTCTCGTGAAGCCTCCTAGGTCCCTCTGAGGTCTCGTGAAGCCTCATAGGTCCCCCTGAGGTTTCGTGAAGCCTCCTAGGTCCCTCTGAGGTCTCGTGAAGCCTCCTAGGTCTCTGAGGCCTCGCGAAGTCTCCTAAAGCCTCTTGAATCTATCTGAGTCCTCTGAAACCTCTTGAAGCATTTCGAAGTCCTTTGAAACCTCCCTCTTAAGTCGTCTGAAGGCATTTGAGATGTTGCGAAGCCTCCAGAAGCCTCGTGAAGCCTTATCCGTGACTTAGGCTGCCTTGTTGATTTTAACGTGACTGTAGGAACGCGGGTAGTGGTGGTAGGGATAGCCATAGTTGTAGTAGTAGTAGTGAGGATGGTGGTAGCCCGGGTAGTAAGGATAGAGGGGGTGGTGGGCGTGGGTGTCGACGTGGGAGTGGGAGTGGGTGGTGTGAGGGTGGGCGGTGCTCACAGTCACGAGGGCCAGCACTACCAGTACCTGTGGGAGACATAATGAACGTCAAGTAGTTGTTGTGGTGGTGGTTGTGGTTGTTGTGGTGGTTGTGGTTGTTGTGGTGGTTGTGGTTGCTGTGGTGGTTGTGGTTGCTGTTGGTATGATTGTTGTTATAACGTGTTAATGTGTTTTGATAACTAAGGTCTGTAAGTGTGTATTATAGATAAAAAAAATATTCACGAGTCATCAAAAAATAAATATCAAGAGATGATGATGACGACATTATTATTATTATCATCACTACCAGTATTATCTTATTATTAACGTGCAGAAAACAAGTGTTGACAAGAGTGGACTTAAAACCTTGCCTTTACTACGTCAGAAAGGTCACACAGGTCACTAACAGCATAAATCCTATCTGTATTTGACCTAAGATGACCTCCCAAGTTGAATCAAAATATGTCTTTCAACAGAAGACAAATTATACTTCTAAGATCTATAACAAGACAGACATACACACACCTTAAGATACACAATATAATAATTGTATTTAAAGACTTGAATTACTTATAGATAAAGTTACTGAACAGATTTACTGAATTTAATACAGTAGTTTATTATTATTTTAGTGGAACGGTGTATGTCTGTGTATATTGTTTGTATACCGGTGCTGTCTATGTACAGTCGCCTACACTTATACCCGGTACAGTGGCGGTGCATTTTGTGAGATGTGGAAACTCCGTGGAACATTTATTTAGCATCCTTAGTCTGGTTACTATAGTGAGGTTCCTTGGGGACATTCCGGAATTTTTAATACAGAGTAAACAAACACAGAGTTGCCACATCTCACAAAACACGTTAGCCGTTGTACCAGGTATAAGTGCGGGCAACTGTATATGCTGAATCAACATGAAATTGTTTGACGATTTTACCAAATATCTATCTATCTATATGGTTTATGGTAACTCACCAGGAACTTGCTAGCCATGACGGAAGGTGTTGTCGGCGCCTCAGCAAAGGAGCTTCTGTGATCACTCCGTCCTGCAAGCCTTTATATATCCCCCACCCCACATTACTTCGGTGACGTCACGGAGTTCCTCGCTTTACATCATCTGATTTTGTAGTTCCGGGTCATGTTATTGCTTGTTAAGGAAAAGATTGAGAGAGAGAGAGAGAGAGAGAGAGAGAGAGAGAGAGAGAGAGAGAGAGATTTAATGGTTAAAAAATTTATTGGCAAGGCTTGGAGTACAGTTTGCCTATCCTGAGTAATTCAGTCAGGTCTTGACACTGAGGATGGTATCACTGTTCACTGCCACGCAGGACAGAGGTTCATACACAAAGAAATACATCATATTCATTAACAGTATATATAGGTCAGAGTCGTGTGGGTGATATCACTGTTCGCTGCCACGCAAGACAGTGGTTCATATACAGTAGAAGTCATATTCTATTTGAGGACTAATCAGTGTGGACTAGCAGCAAATTTAGGAGAAACAGCAAGAATGTCCTCAAGCACTCCTGATTCAATGTAATAATTACATAGTTTATGATACAATAAGCCAGGTGGCCTGAATTCTTTGACAGTGTCACATTCGATAATATAGTGTTAAGTGTATACTTTAAAGGTTTATCACAAAGTTTACATGCTGAGTGTTCCGGTATGGGTAGAGCGTTATTAACTTGCCAGATGTGTCTGTATCCTAGCCTCATGAGAGAGAGACTTACACTTGGGGTGCTCCGTTTTACCTATATATTGTTACATCATAAGTTAGTTTAAGTCAGAATCCTTAATAATATCTTAAGGACCAACCCGAATCTACGATTATATTCTAAAGTTAACTATTAATTTATTCAAACATCTTCTCAATCAACTAAAGGTTCATTCCCAATCATATTTTGTGATGTCAGTAAAAAGCGTTCATTTCTGCTTAACTCAATTATCTGCCATTCCTATGTATATATATATATATATATATATGTTTATGTATACTCGCCAGGTCTATGTATACTTGTGTACGTATATCTGTCTATGTACAGTATATCTGTATGTATACCCGTGTATGGACCTGTGTACATGTGCCTCTTTTTATATACCTATGTAAACTTGTGTATAAATACCTATCTATGTATCCCTGTCTATATATACCTATCTATCACCTCTGGCCGTACAGAAACTTGTAGAGAACTGATAAATTAAAAAAAAACAAATGCTCTTGAAAATATTAAAAGTAAATTCATTTACATAACATCAAGTACTCTCAAATTCACCTCCCCTCCCCCCCATTTAAATTGACTAAATTAGTACGTCGAAGTTACAATAATCATCATTCTTTGTAATATACTGTATATCATTCACCACCATTCTTTGTAATATACTGTACATCATTCACCATCATTCTTTGTAATATACTGTACATCATTCACCATCATTCTTTGTAATATACTGAATATCATTCACCATCATTCTTTGTAATATACTGTATATCATTCACCATCATTCTTTGTAATATACTGTACATCATTCACCATCATTCTTTGTAATATACTGTACATCATTCATCATCATTCTTTGTAATATACTGTACATCATTCACCACCATTCTTTGTAATATACTGTACATCATTCACCATCATTCTTTGTAATATACTGTACATCATTCACCATCATTCTTTGTAATATACTGTACATCATTCACCATCATTCTTTGTAATATACTGTACATCATTCACCATCATTCTTTGTAATATAAAGTACAACATTCACCATCATTCTTTGTAATATACTGTACATCATTCACCATCATTCTTTGTAATATAAAGTACAACATTCACCATCATTCTAGCTCTTACTCTCTAGTCGAATTTCATTATCATTCACCTCTTTCATTTCCCATTCCCTCCACCTTGACCTCCCGAGTCTTACAAGTCTCATAATAAACCTTGGCCACACATAACCTTCAAGAGCTCCGGCACTCAAAAGACTCAACCAGTGTCAATATTATGGTTGTAACTACATTATGACTTTAGTTTTCTGGATAAATAAACTGTTGACAATTTCTTTTCATACAACGAATATACTGTATACTCTATTTCATCGTCGTGGTGTATTAATTAAGTGTACCTCTGTATAGCGAGTCCGGTGTATTCGGGTGGATGAGTCATGTGTATTCGGGTGTATGAGCCAGGTGTATTCGGGTGTATGAGCCAGGTGTATTCGGGTGTATGAGCCAGGTGTATTCGGGTGTATGAGTCAGGTGTATTCGGGTGTATGAGCCAGGTGTATTCATGTTTAGGAGCAAGGTGTATTCGGGTGTATGAGTCAGGTGTATTCAGGTGTATGAGCCAGGTGTATTCGGGTGTATGAGTCATGGGTGTATTCAGGTGTATGAGCCAGGTGTATTCAGGTGTATGAGTCAGGTGTATTCGGGTGTATGAGTCAGGTCAGGTGTATTATTCGGTGTATGAGTCAGGTGTATTCGGGTGCATGAGTCAGGTGTATGGAGTTCATCACAAGTGTAAGCCAAAAATCTTGTCTGTGTAAGGTAATTCATTATAATTATTCTGCTTGGTCTGAGTACCTTGACGAGCCAGACACATCACCAACAGGACCCGGATCTTTACCAGGTAGCCAAACCCTCCTTCCCACAGTTTGCTTGTACTGGGACAATACACGAAGGGCGACTTGGGGAAACACGCACACGCTAGCACAATCACTGACAGACAGACAAACAGATAGACACACTGAGGACAATTGGACTAGCGGAGTGCAGGTGACACGGTAATGATAGACAGGTAAAGTAACAATACCTATCCTGGCCTTGGTGGTCCTGTGGCTCTCCTCACCACCTGTTCCTGTGGCCTTGTTCTACTGTAGTCTTAAAGTTCTTCTGTCTTGTTCGTCTATCTTCCTATTCTCCCCACTTCTCTCTATTCTTTCTGATCTTTAATTCTATTCTCAGTCTACGGTTTCTCATTCCACTTTATTCTTTTTTTATCCTTCTCTCCTCCTCCTCTTGTTCGTGTGTCTCACTGTTCTCCCCCACTTCTTTCTGACTTTCAATTCCATGTTTGGTTTTATTTACGCGGCCAACTGAATCATCCGGGCGCTGTACACGGGCCTCATCCCCTCCCGACCCCCTTAACTAATCAACCAATCAGCGTTAAGATTATTGTTTACTTCATCTTCACTGTTGACGTCTTTGACCCACTTTCCCTTTTAACTGTACTAAACTGACATATATTGTTATACATTTGTAATACTGTACTGTACTGTATTAAATTGTGTTACATTGCATTGTACTTTTATCCTCTTCGCCACTGATCGGCTAGTTAGCCGCTTGGGGGGTCGGTCACGTCTCTGGCAGATACTGGGCATGCACTGGCTCCTGAATATATCGGAACTTGTTCTAGTGTTGGTCAAGTCTGACCTTGAATAAGCTCACATTCGATGCCGTTACGACACTCTCTGGCAGATGACTCCAAAAGTTCACAATTCTCACTCCAAAAAAAATTTCCCTCAGTTTTCTGGACTTGTCGCTTCTTCAACCTTGAGCTGTGATCCCTTGTGGGGCGGGCGACCACCAGTTCCAGGTATGTACTGTACACTCGACCGAGTAGAGCCATCGTGAGATGTTTTTACACTTTGATTAGGTCGCCCCTCGCCCGTCTGTAATATAAGCTAGGCAGTTGCAGGCGCTCCAATCTCCCTGGGTAACTGTATTATACTTTGTTGCCAATATTAATTTTCAGATACAAAAAAATATAAATATTTTATGAAAGACGATTGAAATACCTCAATTTAATTTACATATATGAAGCCTGAGTTTTACATTTTAATTCTAGGTAAAAATATCATCATACTTCATATTATATTTTTTCAAGAATATTTACCTAATTTAACAACTGATGTTTTACAAAAACAATACAAAAATCTCGACCATCTCCATTAATATTATCCAGGTGTAAATATTCCAGTATCTAATGCCATCTATTTAAAACAACAGGTAAATAATTAATAAAAGGTAATTAATGTGTTAGTCGTCTCTAGTCATATACAGGTAAGTCACTCACCCGGGTGTGTTTATGACCCCCAGATCACACCTTCAGTTACGTTACACCAAAGTTCATCTCTTATGTTATAAAGTAGGTGACCTTCCCCCACCCCCCTAAAAAGAAGGCGCAAGCACACTAATCAGAATTAAAGGAGTGAGGCAGCTCATTGGTCAAGGACAGACATAGGATCTGTCTTTGGACAAAATTAAGCGCATATGCAAAAAAAAAAAAAGTCCTAACATTTCATCTCTATGTAGATGTGTGTAAGCATTCTCAGGGATATTTACATAAACATGCACAATTTCAGTTCTCTATCTTAAGAGCCGTGCATAGCAAAAGAAAAAAAAATAGATGCGTTTCTAGTTAGGGGGGGGGGGGGGGGGGGGGGTCAACCACTGGAGCCAACCACAACCTTCCAGACACTTCTGGGGTGCGTTGGCGTCTTTCACGCCCTATTTCAGTTCTCTATCTTCAAAACTGTAGTCGTGCACAGCAAACAACCACACAAGCAAACAAACAGACACTGTGCTTATATGTTAGATGTAATATATGAGTCATCACAGTAGACCACAATAGGTTAGTGCACAGCCGTCACACTATGTTTTCAGTTAATGTGTGTGACGATCAACAGTGGCGTACGTGGAACTTTGTCAAGGCTGGAGGGGGCGGGAGGACAGGAGGGACAGGATGGGTAGGAGGGAGGGGCAGATGGGTAGGAGGGAGGGGCAGGAGAGGTAGGAGGGAGGGGCAGGAGGAAGGGACAGGAGGGAAGAGCAGGAGGGAGGGACTAAAATATTAAAATTACAGGTGGTCCAAAATGAAGCCTTAAGATTCGTCACAGGTGAAAGATACCCCTTCACCAGAACCACAGCCGAGATACATAGAGACCTGAGAATAAAACCCATCAACCAGCAGCTGCACACCCTGGCCAGCAGAGTCTGGCAAAAGATAGAACGATCAGAGCAAGAACTCCTTCAAAGACTCCCA